TACTTATAAGATAAATAGAAAAATAACGAAAGTAGTACAGGAGCTATTTTTTATGGTTTACTATAAGGGACTCCACATAGGCTACTATTTCATTTGCTCTTCACAAGAATATTATAAGACGTGGTAATATTTCCATTTTACATATACAGAATTGCAGATGTAGATTAAGTTGCTTGGCCAAAGTGCTAATAAGTGGCAGTCAAAGAAAATTGGAACCCATGTCTCTTTGTTTCCAAGTCCCACACTCTTAACCATTGTGTACATTATCTTCCAATATATTGTTATTGATTAAGGATGAGTGCAGGCCGGGCGCGGTGGCTGACGTCTGTCCAGTACTTCGGGAGAACGGATGAGGGAGGCGGATCACAAGGGCAAGAGATCCAGACCATCCTGGTCTACATAGTGAAACCCTGTCTCTACTAAAAAAAAAAAATTAGCTGGGCGTGGTGGCGTGTGCCTGTAGTCCCAGCTATTCGGGAGGCTGAGGCAGGAGAATTGCTTGAACCTGGGAGGCAGAGATTGCAGTGAGCCGAGATCAGGCCTCTGCACTCCAGCCTGGCTCCTGGCAACAAAGCAAGACTCTGTCTCCAAAAAAAAAAAAAGAAAAAAAAGAATGAGTGCAGGAGCCCAATTCATAATTGCAAAGATATGGAACCAACCTACCATTGACAAATGAGTAGATAAAGAAAATGTGGTATATATACATAATGGAATACTATTTGGCCATAAAAAGGAATAAAATAATGTCTTTGGCAGTAACTTGGATGAAGCTAGAGGCCATTATTCTAAGAGAAGTAACTCAGGAATAGAAAACCAAACACCATATGTTCCCACTTATAAATGGGAGCTAAGCTATGAATATGCAAAGGCATACGGAGTGATATCATGGACTTTGGAGACTTAGAAGGGGACACTAGTCTGGTGACAATTGCACTAAAATCTCAGAATTAACCACTATATAATTCATCTATGTAAACAAAAACCACTTGTAGCCCAAAAGCTATTAAAATAAAAATATATTTAAAAAATTAAAAAGAAAGCAATAGTACAATTTTAAAAAAGAATGAGTGGAAGATATTAACCAAGGCTTCATTATAATTTGTGTGGTCCCTAGACATCTTTCAATTCATGTGTCCCTTCCTTCATTAAGAAATATTTAAAATCATTTAAAGACTACTATAAGGAAGTATAAGCAAGACTGGATTCATTATAATATATTCATTAGTGTTATATTCATTTTTCCTCAAATTTTAAAAGAAATCAAAATTAGGCCATGCATGGTGGCTCACGTCTGTAATCCCAGCACTTTGGGAGGTCAAGGCAGGCGGATCACCAGAGGTCGGGAGTTTGAGACCACCCTGACCAACATGGAAAAGCCCGTCTCTACTAAAAAATACAAAATTAGTGGGGCGTGGTGGCATGTGCCTGTAATCCCAGCTACTCGGGAAGCTGAGGCAGGATAATCACTTGAGCCCAGAAGGTGGAGGTTGCAGTGAGCTGAGATTGTGCCATTGCACTCCAGCCTGGCCAAAAAGAGTGAAGCTCTGTCAGAAAGAAAGAAGAAAGAAAGAGAAAGAAAGAGAGGGAGGGAGGGAGGGAGGGAGGGAGGGAGGAAGGAAGGAAGGAAGGAAGGAAGGAAGGAAGGAAAGAAAAAAAGAAAGAAAGAAGGAAGGAAGGAAGGAAAGAAAGAGAAATTGAAACATTTTTATGGGTCCCCAAAAGAATTCTGGTTCTAAGTAGTATGACTAGTACACCTGATGGATAACTAGGTCTCAGCATCAAATTGCACACAGAAATCAAACAAGCAATAGCAAAGAAGACAGAGAGAGAGAGAGAGAACATTTTGATGTCACATTTTTAAAGCCATGGAATCTTTCTTATTTTCTAAAAAGTAAAGGACACAGGGCAGTAGGAAGCAACCGTAACCCATGGGGGTTGCTTTAAGATGAAGAGTAGATTATACTGTAAGTGGGGTGCTCAGCATCTCAGTTGAAGATGTTGAAAGAAAGGACACCAGGGCAAGAATTAAACCTGTCTCCTGAAGGAAGCAGGTAAGGCTTTCGTGCTCAACTGTATTCAGCTCTGCTGGAAAGGAGAGTTCGCATGAGTAGTTTTGAGATCCTGCTTCATGGGACCCACCTGGACTGGGCTTCATTCCTCTCAAGCTGAGATGCCTGGTAGCAGAGGGGCGGGCCTCGGAAATCAAGTCCCTGGAGACAGCATTGGGTCATGATAACAGTGGTTTTAGATCTGGTACAAGCTTCAGCCTCTCTACCCAGTAACTGTGGTTTTGGAGGAACTAGGTTTGTGGTGCCTTATCACTGTTTTCTCTTGCAGTTTTCTTATCTGTAAAATGAGGGCCTCGCGGCAAAGATAGTGCTCATGATGCAGCCAATGCTCCCCTTCCAATTCCCTGTCAAAGGCTGGCCAATGAGCTGGAAATAGAGGTGACATGTTTCCAGTTCAGGGTAAGGCAGTAAAAACCTGGTGTATCTCCATATGTAACTCTTCTCCCACAGCAAATCTGGAGGGCAAATGTGCAAGACAGCATAGCTAAAAGTGATAAATGGCCCAAATTTATAAGAGGAGGAGAGATGCTTGAAGGAGAGCTATGCAGGTGGGCCACCAGACCCACAATGAACTTTAAGTCAGAGTGAAATAATCATCTGGTTTGGGGTTACATGTTACTACAGCATAGCATAGCTTATCTTGACTAGTAGAGACTTAATGCCAACTTGACCAAATTGTGAGAATGAAGTGAAAGGGTGTATGGAAAGCATCACAAACCTGTCTGGAAGAGAGAATTCACTCAGTAAACATTTTTTTTCCATCTCAGCTTTCAAAAACTGCATTTTACCCCAAAGGATTAACCATTGCCCAAGAACTACTTTCTGATAAGACCTCTTTCTGATAATATTTTAGTGTCGGAACTAAACATAGAATTCTGAAAAAGATGAAGGTTTTACACAGCCTCATCGACAGATGCCTTCACGGTTCATATAGGCTTCTGCTCCTTACAGAAAACAGTACAGACCCTTTGCAGAGCCTAGCTCAACCCAACTCATTTCCCCTGGAGTGTAGAAAGATGTAGGTGGGGGAAAGTAGAGAGACGGTTTTCTTGGCACAGTGTTTTACATTTTTGTTTAGGTGTCTTGTTGCCAAAAGGCTTGCCAAAGTGGACTCAGGAACATTACCCAGAAGTTTGAGTGAGGGCTTGCTACAACCCAAAGAAGCAGCATGCCTGTGAATACTACCCTGCCTACAATCTCAGCATCCTGTGATTCAAGGCTTTTATAAGTGACTTAGAAGAATACCGCATGTTAGAGAAGTTGAGGCCCAAAGTGAGGAAGGGCTTGCCCCAGGGCCTCCTGCTGGGAGTGGCTAAATGTTAACACTTCGCTTGCCTCTCAGAGCTCCAGATTGGCCAGCCTCTCATCCAGGCACCTTCTCCTTATGTCACCTGCCTGAATGGGAGCTGCCAAAAATGAACACTAAAATCAGTCTTGGCAAGCTTTTCCGGCATCCATTTCACCATGACTTCTCTAAGTGCACATTGGATGGATGTAGCTATTAAAAGTTAGCCCTACCTTGGCAGACAGAAAAGCTATAATCACCCCAGGCATTTCCAAGGGACCTTTCAAAGAACATCATTAATTCTGAATAAAGCTCTCCCTTACCAAAACTTTCCAATTGTAGTCTTCACATTCCTATTTTATGCTGCAAAATTCCTCTGCCATTTAATGAAGAAGAAGAAGAAGAAAAGCCTACTTTTAAAATCACATGTATTTGGGAGCCTGTCTTAGTTAATTTTCCAAAATTAAAACTAACAACAAAAATCTGTCCTTGTCTCTTTTTCCTCTTGTATGTACCCCTTCCCTCATCATCCATGTATCATATTTGGAAAGGGCAATAAAACCTGTTAATCTATAGGACTGGGAGCTTGTTACCTGAAATACCTGAGACCCTCAAAAAAGAAAGCTGAGGCTGCTGGAGTGAGAATGATGCTGAGCACCTATTACATCCTAGCCAAAAGGCAGAAAGCTCCAGACAGAAAAATAAATATGGTGAGAGAAGATCTGCCAATTGCAATTTTGCTCATCTCATTACATTTCCAGTGTTACATTCCTGCTCCTGTTGATTCCCTTCTTTCTTCAGCCAGTCTGCCACCCAGTGTGTGCCAGCCACTGTGCTAGAGCTTCATTCTTCATTTCATGTGTTCCTCACCAAGAGCCCTATGAAGTAGGAATGAACATGTTTAAAATTGAAGAAATGAGACCCACAGGTATTAAGCAACTGTCCTAATGTCCCAAGCTGGGATCTGAATCCACTGATCTTTCCTAAATCCTAGAGGATAGCTCTGCGGTTGAGATAAGGAAAGCAAAGTGACACCGATTATTATATTTTAAAATCCTCACTTTTCCCCTTGGCAGGGTGCTGGCTAATAGAGTTGGGGAATAGACTCTGAATTGCAGAGGATGGAGACGGTGGAGACAGAAGAAAAGGCGTGATTGGCCACAGGAATTTCTGCAGGACAAATTCCCGGTCCACTGCATCCCCTCTAGGACTAGTTGGGAGCAGGAAGTCAGGGGCTCCGGAAGTCACATGGACAGCAGAACTTCAGGTGAAAAACAAGATAGTGCAAGTAACAAGATGTGCCCTCAGCGCTACTGAGACAGGCTGAACCTACAAACCCCTCCGGCCTTATCGTGCGTCGTGGGTAGGTGTCAGATCGGGCTCCCTAGTGTGCAGGTGGTGAAACCATTTTTTCTGCGCGCACCAAGTACGCAGTTGGTGAACCGCTCGCTTGCGTGCCAGACGCACCGCTGATGAGCTCCTCCGTGTGCACAGAACTGATGGCAAACTTTTCCTCGTGCGCTGGTGGACAATTTTTAGGCGCGCGCTCCAACTGTACAAGCTTCCGCCCACTCTCCCATTCGCCAAGCTGCCTCTTTCTCCAGCAGCCCCATCCCCAAAGTAACATTCCGCAGCCCGCCCCTCACCTGTGCGGTGGCCTGCAACGGCAGCACAGCTCTCCGGCGGCGGCCGAAACGAAACTTGGCCGCCTTGTAGATCTTCCAGTAGACGAATAGCACCACGCCAAGCGGCAGGTAGAAGGCGCCACAGGTGGAGAAGACGGCATAGGAGGGTTCCTGGCTCACCTGGCAGCGCTGGAGCCGAGCGTCGTACACCTCGCCCCAGCCAAAGAGCAGCGGCGCGAGCGCGATAAGCGCAGACAGCCCCCAGGTGAGCGCGATCATGAGCGCCGAGGCGCGGCGGCGGGTGCGCAGCGTGTACTGCAGGTGGCGCGTGATGGTCCAGTAGCGGTCCAGGGCGATGGCCGCCACATTCCAGATGCTGGCCGTGCAGCACAGCACGTCGAAGGAGATCCACACGTGGCACAGGGTCCGGCCCAGCAGCCAACGTCTCCCGGCCGACAGCTCACTCACCAGGCTCAGTGGCATCACCAGCGCTGCCACTAGTACGTCCGAGACGGCCGTCGAGGCCACCAAGTTATGTGGCACGCGATGGAAGGCACGGACCCGCAGGATGGTGACCAGAACCAGCAGGTTCCACAGGAAAGTGGCAGCGATCAGCAGCACTAGCAGCGTCACCACCAGCACCGTGAAGACAGAGAAGCTCGGCTCCCGACCCTGCAGGACGGCACCACCCGGGGTCGAACTGAGGATCCCGCTTGGGCGTGGGCTACTGCTGCAGGTCTCGGGTCCCAGGGCAAGGGCAACGCCGGCTGTGGCCACTGAGAGGTTAGCGGCTTCCATGGGGCGCAGGATCGCGGCTCCAGGGCAGGGGACGCGCGAGTGGTCAGTGAGCTCGGCCTGGACCGTGCAGGTGGGGGCGTGGAGGAGGTACTGCCTGCCAGGAGAGGGGTCCAGGTCGTCCTACCCTGGTCCCTCCTGCGGGCAGCAGCCCCCCGTTGGCACATATGCCTGCAGCCCTCGTAGACCCTCTTTTCCAGTAGAAAGGGGACAAGAGAGCAGGACCCCTCAGTCCAGCTCACCACTTCTCTTAGCGGTCCCGGGTGCCACCGGCTGTCGTGGGGCTGAGAATCAGCGCAGCCCAGTGACCGAGCGCCGTGCTTAGAGAGTTGCCGCCTCCACCACCCAGCAGCGGCGGGAGACGAGCTGCACCTGGAGTGGGCGAAGGTGGGCGGAAGCAAGGGGTGGCTGGAGAACCGACCAATAGGAGCCGGGCCTTCAACGCTGTCTCCGCTAGTCCCCCTGCCTCCGCCAAGCAGAAAGAACCCTAACTGCAGTAGTCTCTGAGAAAGGTTGACAACTGGTTTACAATGGGGAGAAAGTCCCTTGCCGCCACCTCCGCGGATACCTGGCACCTGCTGGCGGCCCGGTTTGACACTGGGAAACAAGAGTCCCGCCCCGTCCCAGCCAGAGGGGTTCTGGTTTCCTGGAATCTCGATCCTTCCTATACCCGAAATAGGAATCCAGGTATTGGGAGATATAAAACAGAAAGTTCCTAAGCCCAGCCCATCCTGCCGCTTCATTTCCAGCAGGTCCGTCTGGCCAGGGCTTGGTGGCGCTTGAGAAGTTCACTCCCTGGCTCTAAGCGGACAGAACGCGCGGCTTCTGAGCAATCTGGCAGAGATCTGGAAGCGGGACCCTTTAAACCATCATCTTCGCCAGTTCTAACCTCCCCCATCAGGTCCCCAGCCCCAACATACCACACACTCCACCCCGCCCTGTCCTTTCCGTTTCTAACATTCCTGACTCTGTGTCTTCCAGTTCTTCATATCCACGTTCAAACTGGAGTTCTTTTTGTTGAGCCTTGGGCAAAAGTAGGAACCAATTAGAAAAGTGGAATTCCCAACAACCTCTCACACTTAAAAAATAGTTCAATCATAATTAACTCAATCTAAATCTGTGTTGCCTGTTCCTGGGAGTAGAACAGAAACACAACACAGAGTCCAAACCGCCCCTTCTCTTGTCAAGGTGAGAAGGGTTAGACCTTAAGCAGGCTGACCTGGCCGGTGCCTGAATGACCCGGAAATGTGGGAGGAAGGGGACATGAAACACTCAAGGTGCAAACCCCAAGAAGCAAGTTTGGACTTCATCATGGAGAAAGCTGGAATTGAGAAGATTTTGAGAAAATTGACCTGATGAAGAGGAATTTGTTAGAAAAAAAGGAAGACTAGCCTTTGAAATATGTTTACAATCTCTCTCCATTTTATTAAACAAACATAAGAGCAAAGAATATTAGAAATATAAAAATATTCATATTGCACTAGCCAGATGCATGACATGCTTTTATTCTCATCTTTTGTCCCTATCCACATACATTTTTTTGGGTAAAATCAATTTTTTATTTTGCAGATTTCTGTTAGCACTTCTCATGTTACTAGATATTGTCTTCATAGTTCCACTTTTTATAGGGTACCATTTATCAGTTGGGAAACTCTGAGCAACTTAGGCTTTCTGAGACTCACCTTCCCTATCTTAAAAGTGGGGATAATTATACTTGCCACGAAATCATTGTAAAACTAGAGTTAGAGCCAGTAGCACAGGATTAAGTGTTCAATAAGTGATAACTGGTCCTGCTCTTTCTAACTTCTAATCTAAACCTTAGATTCACTTATCTTCTGATCTTTGAGGTAGATTAGGTTTTTAGATACTTTTATTCTCTAAAATATTTGTAACAACAAAACACTTTCTCCACTTTATTTCAGTTGATCCTACCTACAATCATTTTAGGCATCATTCTCATTTGCAGAAGAAATGAAGAGAGATTTGTTGACTTGCTGCTATGGACATAATTGTGTTGCCCCAGATTCATATATTTAAGCCCTAACCCCCAATGTGCCTGTATTTGGAGAGAGGACCTACAAAGAGGTAATAAGGTTGACTGAGGTCATAAGGGTGGGGCCCCGATTTGATAGGATTTGTGTCGTTATAAGAGACACCAGAGACCTCACTCTATCTCTCCTTATCATGTGAAGACACAGTGAGGAGGATTCTGCCCACAAGCCAGGAAGAGGGTACTCACCAGAAAATGAATCTGTTGGCAACTTGATCTTGGATTTCCCAGTCCCTTAAACTGTGAGAAATAAATTTCTGTTGTTTAAGCCACCCAGTCTATGTTGTTTGTTATAGCAGTCTGAGCAGACCCAGACACTTGGCTTGAGGCTGATAGCTTGGACTCAGCTCTCTGGCCCCCATTTCCCACCCCTCTATCCTACCACTCTACTTCCTTTCTTTCCATAGCTCTTCACAGAAGTGACATCATATTATTATTTAATTCCCTTTCCATTATCTAAATGACTTTCCCCACTAAAGTGTAAGCTCTTCTTGGGCAGGGAATTTGTTCACTGCGATAGCCTTAATATCCTGTTCTGTGCCATGCACATGGTAGGTCACTCAATACATTGGAATGAGTTAAATAAATAAATGAGGCATTGTTGAGAGACATGGTTCATAGGCCCTGAGCATCCCCTGAACCTTCTCCTTGTGTGTGCCAAGAATGCAAGGCCCTGACTGCTCATTTCCTAGGCCATTCCTGAGTGTTATATTTGTAGCAAGCAACCTTAAAAGATGAAGAACTTTCTCCTGGGCAAGGGACAGGCTTGCTTCCACTTACTGTCAAAGTGGTGAATCCCAAGCTCAGTGTTTCTCTCTGTGACCCTGCACACTACTGGGCAGGCATGGGCCCTTTCTGTCACCTACATGAGATTTGGGAAGCATGGAGAGCTGTCACAAAGATGAAGCTCTGGCTATGGCTTTTGCCTAGAATATTAAAGTTTGTTGTCTCTGACTCAGGAATCTCATGTCTTCTGCCAGCATCTATGAAATTATAACAGTGTAGCTTCTTAACTTGAAAGCAGAGTAAAATCTCAACCCTGCACAGTACATGGCAGGCAGTTTACTGGTTTTTAAAAATTACAGTTAGCAACTTTTCTTTCTTTGGCGTTTCTTTTTTTTTTTTTTTTTTTTTTTTAGATATTTGACATCTCAAAAATGTTTGACAAAGCAAACTTTTTTTAAGATGGAGTCTCCCTCTGTCTCCCTGGCTGGAGCACAGTGGCATCATCTTAGCTCACTGCAACCTCCATCTCCTGGGTTCAGGTGATTCTTCTGCCTCAGTCTCCCGAATAGCTGGGATCACAGCCGTGCACCATCATGCTGGGCTAATATTTGCATTTTTAGGGGAGATGGGGTTTTACCATGTTGGCCAGGCTGGTCTCGAACTGCTGACCTCAAGTAATCTGCCTACCTAATCCTCCCAAGGTACTTGCAGGCATTCTGCCTGGGTTTATTTTCTTGATATATTTTCTCCCAAATTTAATTATTGAGTTAAAATATAGGAACAGTGTAACTGTTCCTTTTATGCATTTTCAAATTGTACCTCAGAAAAATGTAATGGTGTCAGTTTTCTTATCCCTGGCTTTAGAGAAACAAGAAAAAATGGAAAAGCCTTGCTAAAGCAAATTTTCTAACATTAAACACAATGTTTAATTGGTGTATAATGATGTATTTTAATTGTTTTGATTTTCTTTTTTTTTTTTTTTTTGAGACGGAGTTTTGCTCTTGTTGCCCAGGCTGGAGTGCAATGGCATGATCACTGCAACCTCCCCGCAACCTGGGTACAAGCAATTCTCCTGCTTCAGCTTCCCAAATAGCTGGGATTAGAGGCATGTGCCAACTCGTCCAGCTAGTTTTTGTATTTTTAGTAGAGATGGGGTTTTTACACATTGGCCAGGCTGATCTCGACCTCCGGTCCTCAGGTGATCCACCTGCCTCAGCTTCCCAAAGTGCTAGGATTATAGGCATGAGCCACCTTACCCAGCTTGATTTGCATTTTTAATGGATAAAAATGCTACATTTTTCCATATGGTGTTTATTATGCATTCTTGTGTATTATTTATTATGTATTATTTATTTTGTGTATTATGTATTCTTGTGTAAAAGCTGTTCATTTACTTTAAACTACTTTATAAAGTAATATGAGTGCTGATTTTATGACTATCAACTTTAATGCATTTAGAGAGCATATTTATCAGTTTCATCAGCATATTTAATGCATTTAGAGAGCATATTTTCATCCGTTTTTGTCACATAATTTTTCTGTGTTACTCTTTGTGTTTATTACGTTTGTCAAATAAATTTTTTATGTAATAAAACACATTAATTCTTGTCTCCATTAATATCTTCAACTCAGTAATTATAAATCACTTTACTGTCCTCCATTTGTGTTATTAAATTTTATGACTAGATTAAAAGTGTAATTCTTTGATCCCCCTGAGGTGGTTGTTGAATGTAGCAGGAGATGGTGACTCAGCCTTCTCACCTATATGCTGTGTACAGTCTTATCCAGGGAATGGCCTGATTAGTGAGGGCAAGACGTCTTTGTCATACAAAGACAGGTGTGATGCTGTCTTGATCCCAGAGGCTCTTACATCTATCACAGAATAAAATCTATTTACCGAATAAACATGATACAGCAAAATGTGCTAACAGTTGATTAGCAGTACTAACAAGGGTTTCTGGCCTGGCTGGGGAGAGAAATCACCTCCAATGAGGAGGATCAGAGACAGCCTCCGAGGGAGGCAGCTTTTGATCCAAATCTTAGTTATGAGGAAGATTTTCACCAGCAAGTGTGGGGAGAAGAGGAAGGAGGCATACCTGGGGGGAGGAGGGTGAGCAAACGCCTGGAGGCAAAAAGACAACAGCAAAACAAAACACAACAATCAGGGAGTACCCAGTGTTGACTAGATGGCTGTTCATTCACTTCAGGCTTGTCAATTTTTAATTTTAAAGGAAGTACAGGTAGAACATTTCTATCATTTTCACTCAGCCAATTCTTTGCCTTTAGTAATTCCATGTATCTCCCATGGTTACCTTTTTTGCTGTGATTAAAAAACATTCATTCTTTGATATTATTTCCCTTGTGTGTTCTTCCAGATGATTTTTAATATTGTTTTATCAAGTTTTTTTTTCTATTTGCTCATCAAGTCTTAGACCAAGTGTTACCCCTTTTGAGAAGGTGGTTCCTACATCTGCCCCCGCCTCAGTCCTAGCTGGTGCCCCTGCTCTGACTAGCTCCAGAAGCCAGTGCTGACACAGGGACGCATTTCTGCCTCTCTACTAGATGGCAGGCTCCCCGAGGATATGGCTGGGCACTGAACGTCTGTCAGCTTTCCCTGCCATGCACCCCACTTCCACCTCACCCAAGGCCTGGCTTAGGCTTAACAAACTCACATGAAGGAATGAATGAAT